CCTGGACAGGACACAAGTGCATCACAGGGCACACGCACACACACACTCGCACACCCTGGACAGGACACCAGTCCATCACAGGGCACACACAGACACACACATTCACACCACGACCGATTTTCCCAGAAGCCAGTTAACCCACCAGCATGTCTTTGGACTGTGGGAGGAAACCAGAGCACCGGGAGTTGAGCTGTGAGTTAGGAAGAGTTGGGAATACTTGGGAATACTTGGAAACCCACAAGCCTGGGGAGAATTCCAAACATGGCCTGTCAAGAAGGAGATCAGGATTTTAAATCCCAGTGCCTCTTATTCTTGAATAACAACGTGGAAAAACTATTATCCCAATTCCTGCATTTCTGCTATTTAATGTTTGTTGTTGTTGTTTACTATGAGGGGAGTTATTTATTTCTGAGAAGTGAAATCCCCTCTCTGTGGGTGAAGCTGAGATCCCTTTTAAGTGATCAGGGTCACTTGATTTTTATTTCAAAGGCGAGTCCTTCAAATGTATTAAATGGGAGTCTTTTTATCTTAAATCTTTTCTGTTTTCGTGTACTTGATATTCTGTTCGACAGGCAAACACAGCTCGTGTGTGGCTGCTTGTCTCTCTATATATAGAGCACCAGAACTAGTTGGAGGAACATACGCTCAGTTGTGCACAGGCAAAAAAAAAAAAATAAACCGTGGAAAGCACATGGATTATAAGGTTAGCCAGCCCGTTTCCAAAAATAAGATCTGACGTCACTAAACTTCATCCACTTCCCAACTTGCAAAAACCGTGGAGATGTAAAATCAGAAAAGCGCGCACTCGCCCGCCAGTCGCGTTCACGAATCCTCTGTGACGTAGGTAATCGAGAACACGCCTTGAAACGCGTGACGGTGATGTCACTGTTCCAGGCAGCATTGTAGCCGGAAGTATCTGAAGTAGAAAAATAGAGCTAAGAGGAAGTGTAGAAACATCGAAGCTTTTACCATCTACTATTTCTCTTAATACCTGCTTACGGTTAATAGTGGACGGAACGAACGGTGCCTTCAGAGATGTCGAATATGGACAGTATCCTTTTGGAGTCGTGAAAACGAAAGTGTGAGTGTGAGTACGAGAGGCTGTTATGGCACTGGGGCCCTGTGTGTGTGAGAGCTCTGAAGACTTCAGAAATACCCAGGTTTGATCCAAACTGCGAGAATCGCACCTCTCACTTGAGAGGTCGCTGCCACAGAGACTTGCTGTGACGCAGCACCACTAGAGCCGGCGAAGGAAGTTTTTACCTTCATCATCTCCACAATAATCAGGTTATTGTCTCCAGAGCTTGAGGGATACTGTTGTTGGGACAATCTGTCATGATTGTTGTGTGCATAAGTGTTGACGTTGGCCAATATGATGTAGTGTTCAAAACGTTTGTAAAAAATATTCCAAATGTTCGCTTGCGTATCTATGTGGACGTAATTAGTATACTGTTTTATTTTTGTGATACGGTGGCCCAGTGTATCAGGAGGCAGTCTCTTGGTCTTAAAGGGACCGAAATCTTTCGTTCTTTCAGTGGCCCGAAGAGAACTTTCTTTAATTTCTTTAACTCCTTTGCATTTTCTTCTATGCTTCAGGTTTGGCCAGGTTCGTTCCGAAAACGGTGTCCCTCGCTGCGTAGAGAGACAGGAATAAAAATAATGAGAATAATGGGCGTGTTTTTGTGAGTGACAGAATGTAACCAATCAACTAGCTACTCTGTGAAAAGGGCACGGCTCGCTTTTTTTTCCAGAAGTGTATCTGAAAACCCGGGTGATCGAAGATGAAGAAAGATATCCGTTTAGTCTTTGGTTAAGTAGCGTACTAGACACGGGACAGAAAAAGAACAAGAAAAGAAGATCTTGTCGTTGGCTGTGGAATGCGATTTCATCTTCCATCCGCCCTGGCTTTGTTCACGCCTGAAAGGCGACTCCGCCTGCTCCGTCCTCCGCCGTCACGGAACCTCTTGAGCGAGAGAACGGCGATCACGTGATCCAGCCTGCGTCACCCGCGATGTACCTTTTAATAAGCTGATTTAGTTTCTGCGTCTTTACGGTTCCCAGTTTCCAGTTTCCTCCTCAAAGGCGAGCCTGAGGAGACGCAAGATGACACCGGTGCGTGGCCGCACGGACAAAACCTGTGGCACGCTCAGCGCGCAGTGTGGAAAGGAAAACGCATTGCTTTTGGTGATGCAAATACTGTAAAGTACTTTCCCGTTTGCTTCCCCGTGGTTTGTACAAAAAGCACAAACAAAGGTTCGGGCCGAGCGATTGTTAGTAATGAAAAGCCTGGTAAGACCGAGCTGGGGGACGGAAAGTTAACCCTTAGTCCTAGGCTCTGAATCTGCCGCCATTCCTAGAAGACCCTCTCTGAGGGTCGACTGTGGTCTGTTCAGGTCGTTCCTGCTTTCCTTTACTCCCTCTGTCAGAGCACTTGTTCAATCTGAAGTTCGCCGCGAAGGAGTTGGTGAGGAACTCCAAGAAATGCGACAAAGAAGAAAAGGCAGAGAAGTCCAAAGTTAAGAAGGTAAAGAGCTCTTTCTTTTTACCCCAACTCTCTCACCCTGGCCCTGTCCTGGCCAGGAGCCTGTCGTGGTTTCTCGGGTAGAGAGCCTGGAAGCAACAGTTCAGCAACCCAGAACTCGCTTGTTCACCTGTTCGGAACGAAGGTTCAAGACTCCCAGTCCCAGTCCCGGTGACCTGAACACACCTGCTGGCTTTTGTCCCGGCCGAGCCCTCAGTGACGCACTCGGGCCCTTCTGTGACTTCCTGTTGACCCTTCCCTGCCTTCATTAGATCCATCTGAACTGCTCCTCTGTCCCCCTGGCAGGCCATCCAGAAGGGCAACATGGAGGTGGCCAGGATCCACGCTGAGAATGCCATCCGGCAGAAGAACCAGTCCATCAACTTCCTGCGGATGAGCGCGCGGGTGGACGCCGTGGCTGCCAGGGTCCAGACCGCGGTGACCATGAACAAGGTACACGGGGGGGGGCCAGGGTTCGAGTCGGGTGTCGGTGGGGCCAGGCTGGGGGCAGGGCTGCAGGCCTCGCAGTACGTGCTCTCCCTGGCACCCCAGGGGGGGGCAAGAGAGGCGAAAGCTTGGCTCCCCGGGGTGGGAGGATCGGGTCACTGTTGAACCCGATGGAAATTCCCCCCCTGATGGTAATTATAAATGGAAATTCATGCTGAACTCCTTTGTATCCTTCAGGTGACGAAGTCCATGGCAGGCGTGGTGAAGTCCATGGACGCCACACTAAAGACCATGAATCTCGAGAAGGTGAGGACCTCGTGACTGTGCGTGCCGGGACGTGGCCCAGCCGCGGGGCTGCGCGCGTTGGGAGTTTCGGGTTTCGGACGGAGGCCGTTCGCGTCCGCCAGCTTTAAAAGAGCCCGGTGTGATGTTAGCTCCCAGCTAAAATATAATAACCCGTTGCTGGTGTTTCTTCAGACCACGTCCTGTCTGCGTAAAGAGACAAGTACATTGGAAATTACCATGCAGAACGCACTCTTAAGTTGTGCTTTGAACAGGTCACTTTATACTGTAGTTGTGTGGGGGGGGGGAGAGGGGGGAATTCAACCTGCTCATTTGCATCTTAAGAGAGAAAATGCTTGTCCCTTGAGTTATCTTCTAATCACATGAATGCATAATTCCATCATGATTAGCCAGAGACTGTGTACCACAAAGAGTGACTGCATTTGCTCTGAACAAATTATTCACCCATTTCACCAAATCTACAGTCGCTTATTTCCAACTCCAGAGCAGTTAGCATTTAATGAAAGCAATCAAACATAGGAGAGTGGACTTGTTCTGTGTCTGCTGCAAATTGAAGTCCCTAAAATGGCAAGGCATTGATTCCCAGAATCAGGACGGCGAACCTGTGCAGTTAAGGCAGAGCCTGCCTACGCTCACTGAGTAGGATAAGAAATAAGAGATTTCAACCCCTGCCGTGGTTTCTCTTGATGATGCATCGCTTTTTATAGAACAGCATGCTTCCATCTTTCACGACGTGGTCAGTTAGTCTTTTCTTGCTACTGGAGAGTCGTTGACTTTAACCAAGACTTTAATATTTAGGATTAGGATATTTAGGATAGGTCCTCACAGTGCACTCAGAACTCGGATCGCAGCATTATGACACCAGGAGAAGATCAACCTAATTGTCCCCTAGGGGAAAATTTTATGGAAGCACATTTGCTTCTGTATATCTGAATACGTCACAAAAAAACATTACATGTCGCATCTACCACTATTGCACGTACAAAAGGGAAAAGTAGCGCTGTGTGTGTCTGGTGCTGAATGCCTCAGCGGCAGGGCTGTGTGCCGGTTTGCAGTCGTGCTGACCCCAGGCTGGTGGTGCTGCCATCTCTGCCCGTACGCTGTCAGTGAGAAGAGCTGCATCTCCCTCCGCAGATCTCGGCTCTAATGGACAAGTTTGAGCACCAGTTCGAGACGCTGGACGTGCAGACGGCGCAGATGGAGGACACCATGAGCAGCACGACCACACTTACCACCCCCCAGGTGAGGCACGCTGATCCCCGCCAGAACCCCCTACTGCCCTGCCGTCACCCTGGGTTCCCGTTAAACCAGAGCTCTTTGATTTCTTACTGGAAACGGCACACAACACTTTAAAACCATATCCTCCCAGGGAACCCATTAATGCATATATTGTATTTATTTGCTTTTGTTGTAGCATCCGTTAACATTTATTAATCATTCTGAGCAGTCTCCTTTCATTTCTGATCAATATATCTTTCGCACATCCTGTAGTTTTTCATAGGGAATGATGGATACAGGCCTCCTCTTATTTTGGCACATTTTAGTCCTCAACTGTGTAAAAGCTTCGAGAACAAGGGAATGTCATTTATTATGTTATCTGTTACGCTGAAACGGAACATTAATAAGGTTTTCTAAACTTCTAAGTCTCCTTGAACTTTGAGAGCTAGGAAACGTCAGTCGAAGTGTTTTGGAAAAAGTGCTCTGCCAGTGCAACACTGCCCCCTTGTGTTAATCCTGATGAATTTTTTTATTGGATTTAATTAATTAGTGCTAATGAAAGTGTCCTTCATGTCCCTGTCTTTATATTCTATATGTGTTTCCATTTTTTTTTTCCCTTTTCTAAATGCTGGATTGTGTGCAGTGATATTGCAAAAGATTTTAGGCAATGGCCCTGCCCTTACAGACCATTTCAGCCCAGGTCTTTTAGGATATTCACAGCAATTTCTTTTTTAATGTCCCAGAATGAAGTGGAAAGTCTGATGCACGAGATGGCTGACGAAGCTGGGTGAGTGATTCGGTAACGGGACCATTGCCCTTAGTGGGAAGAGTGCAAGTGACCAATCACAGCGGTCGTGAGACCGGCAGGCCCTCTCTGCGCTCACGAAGGCGCTGGGCAGAGCAGAGATTTCACTGCAGAGAAACCTCTTTTGATGCAGTGTTATGCCTCCAAGACAACAGACTACAGAACCACTTTAGGGAAATATTTATTCCCAGAAGAACAGAGAGGGAATAGCTGTTGATAAGCAGTGTGGCATTTAAATTGGCTCATATTTCTACAGGTCTTTAAGAATGCCTTTCTGGTTTTGAGACAGCAGTTGGTAGTCTATCAGAAATGAATACTCCTATTCTGGAGAATCACTCTAACCTTTCAGACTAAGGCTTTCATGCATGCAATGTGAACAAATAAATACACTCTGGGTTACTAATAATAGGGTTAACTCTGGCAGCAGGCTGTCATATTTGTCCTAGCTGAGCTACAAAAAAGGAGCTCAGAGGTGCTTTCTCTCAGACTACCAGACTTACATCTTAACCTGTAGCTGTCCCCTTGTCATTGAGTGATTTTGGTATTGTTTACAAGAAAAAACAACAACATTGGAGGAATCATTTGTTACATGATCAGTGTTGTCCATCCTGGTTAAAAAATAAGGATTGAGACGTTTGTGTTCTGTATTGAGGGAGGGGATCTTGCTTTCATATTGTTAAATACCCTTTGTGTTCTTACGGCACATGTTGACAATGTGTACTTGTGGGTGTGTTGTCTATAAAGGCTATAAAAACCCAGCCTCAAGGTAACAATAGCACAAGGAGCCCAGTTCTGGTGCTGCAGAGCGGAGAGGTTTGTCTGTGTGCCACTGAGTGTCCTGGCTCATTCGAATCCAACCAGCCCGGCAGGTTCAGTCAGGACGGTACCAACAGGGATTCTTATTCTTCTCCGAAGCATCCACCTCTCCAGATAGAGAGAGACAGGGGATGGTGAGGCTTGCACTTTTTTTTTTTTTTTTTGCTGATTCAGGAAGGAAGTCAGTGTAGGCACTGCTACAGCTCATTTCTTTCTCCCCCTCCTCATGGTAACGGCTGATGCACTGATCACACGCCACTGAGCTGTCCAGTTAGCGTGATAATCCCATTCTGTCCTGGGGCCGGGCTGCTGCAGACAGGGCCTCTTTGTTAGCGGGAGGTTTAAACAGCTGGATGGGATCTGAGCTCCTCATTGCTTCCCTGCAGGCTGGACTTGAACATGGAACTTCCCCAGGGGCAGACCGGGTCCGTGGGTACCAGCGTGGCCTCGGCGGAGCAGGTAAAGGGAGTCGGCGGGTAGTTTGCGCTTACTGGGTCATTTTAACCCTTTGTTAGGGGCTGGAAGGGGGTTTACTCCGCCTTTTTGTTTCATGCCAGATAAGGTTCGGGAAGGCAGGTCCTGTGGTGAGCAGATGAGCACTGCTGCCTCACGGGCCCCAGGTTACTGGGTGTGACCTCCAGGCCTTTGGTGCCTGTCTGTGTGCGCTGCTTCTCATTGGACGCCCCAGTTTCCTCACTCCTCCCAGCCTTGTGGAGGTTAGATGTGATTGGCTATTCTAAGTTGTCCCTTCCCCTTGCCGGAAAGCAGCTGAGCTCCCTCAGAAGGGAACAAACGTCATTTCTGTTTTGCCCCCTTGTTGGATGGGCGAGCTTGAACTTTATAAATGGCTTTCGGGGTAAGGGGAAGGAATTTCTCTTCTCAGGCCTTGAAACTGTTCTAGCAGTTCAGGGCTAATTAGTTGGTTTGGTTTTCTTAATAGGGGAAAGGCTTACAAATGATGCAAGAAGCTGTACTGGCAGGGAGCAGTGATTTTTTTAAGTAACTGTAAATTGTGTGAACAGCACAGGTGGGGGTGAAGAGCTACGAAACAACGTGGCTGTACTGGCAGTCTTGAGCGGCCATCTGTAAGCCCCTGTTCTCCCAGGGGCTGCAGCAGCTCTGAACAGTTGGGGTGGGCTGACCTGACCTGTGCCGTTTGTGCCCCTCTCCCCAGGATGAGCTCTCCCAGAGGCTGGCCAAGCTCCGGGACCAGGTGTAAGTCTGTGACGCAGCAGCTTGGCCCCGCTGAATCACACAGCGCCGCGTCCACAGCGGTGCAGCTGAAGTGGAATATCTATTAAAGCTCCCTCTCCCTCTGTCTGCCTCGTCGCAGCTCTGTTCTCAGACCTGCCCGCTTCTCCCTGTCCCTGTGCTGGGAGAAACGCACAACGCCTTCGGGATTCAGCCAAACATAGATTTTTTTTTTTGTTTGCGCCTTGCATCTGTAGTACTCTCTAGGTACAGCGCTGCGAGGAGGAAAAATAATAAAAAAAAGCCAAACTTCAAAATGTTCTCTTCCGGCTATAGAAAATTAAATAATAGATCGCTCATGAATGCCACCCTTAAGACAGCTCTTAAAAGGGTTGTTCCTTAACCGCTGTATTATTGTTAGTTTTCGATAGATTTGATGGTTGACTGATCTTATGTTAAAATAATTAAATATGTTTCATGATTTTTTTTTTTGTAAAGGGCTGTCTTAAGTAGGGGTGTTTTCGGAGCCTCAAAAGCCAGGCTCTCGTGGGTATATTGAAGTAAAACATGATCCTGACTTTTAATCTGCTGCTGAATCCAAAGGTCGTGTTCAGAGGGCCGTCTCTGTGCTGTACAGTGGCAAACAGGTGGGAAGCTACATGACACTATTTCAGGACTAAGTCCCTTGCAGTAAAAACATTTGCAGATCCCTGTCCAGCTACTCAAGGTGTTTCTGACAGGTTCAGTCTCATTAATTGTCGCCGTTTTATCCTTTTTAGTTGTGTTTGCTTGTCCACACTCCCAACATACATGCAAAAAAAGTTACACTGACACCTGCTTGGTACTTTGTTTTTGGATAAATGGAATCTGCATTTCCTTCCTTGATATTTATATTACATTTAATGTTGTTTTCGCTGGACTGGGGGGATTTTCTTTGTTGGAACAAAAAGATGACAGAATGGCTGTTTGATTGCCGATATCTCCTTCTTTTTACTTGTCTCTTGGTCGTGGTTGCAAACAAAATCTGGGGATAATTGTTCCTTGGATGATTTAGGACTTGCAGAGTAAATAAAATTATTTTTTAACATGAAATGCTGTTTTTTTTTTGGGCTGTTCGCAATAATTTGAAATTGTGGCCATTGTAGCTTTTTAGATTAAAAATGTGCACTGCTAGGTAAACAGATTTCTTCAGCAACATACGGCTTGTTTTTTGTTCTGTCATTTTTGTTCACCTTTTCTCTTTCATCTCCTCCCCTCCCTTTTTCCTTTGTGCTTTTCTTGCTACTCTGACGAGCTCGGAAAAAGGTCTTCTCTTTGAGCAGGGGGACTGGCTGATAATGATGTAGTCTTGTTAGGCCGCAGGCATTCACAGCTTTCCAGGAAAAGGGTTGTCAGGGATAATGGGAGTGAGTTTCTGTAGCGCACTCTGTCTCCTGTGTGGGAATGAATAGGTCTCTCTCTGTTCGCTGGGAATGATGTGTAAGCAGTGCAGAGATTCTGGGGCTGTCACTTGTGTGCTGGAAGTCAAGGTCAGATTCTTGCCAGATGTTCGGCACACGGCTGTATCCTTTAGTCTGGTGTTGTATTGTTGTTTACAGCCTAATGCCCTCTTTCATCTCTGGAGTGGAAGCTGGGGGATGTGTGTCTGTTTATGCTCCATGGGGATTCCTTTTGCAGAGCAGGTCGAGTTGTGCTTTTAGCAATAGCATTTTTTCCACACTGCTAAATACTGGTCAGGCTTCAGGCTGTATGCGTTTTTACTTCTTTAAATAAGATTTATGGACACCTGAGGCTCCCCAGATATAAATTTTTACGCTGCAGACAATGGTGCAGGTTAGGATACAGGGCCAGTCTTTCACAGGGCACAAAAACGTGCAAATGAGTAATTTAGAGTTGCCAAGTAGCTGAGATTGTGTGTCTTTTCACTAGTGGAGGAAAACTCTGGAAGTACAGTATAAAGATGGGCGTGTCCATGCAAACTCCATACACAAGGTGTTCCAGATTGAAATCAAGCCCAAGACCTAACAGCGTGAGACAGCTCCACTACCCACAATGCTGCGCTGTTATCGTTATTTTTATTCTTCTGAGCAGGACGGTTCTTGGGGATTGTCTCCGTTTAACACCGTTGTGGAAGGATCTCCCTGAAACCCTTCTCAGCTATTTTTTTTCAGAAAGCATTATCTATAGAGCAGTCTGGTTTTCACAGTTAATGGTAATAAAACTCCCTGGACTTCGTGTGTGAAGGTTCTGATGCATAAAAACTAAACGGAAACCTTTTGGACCCAACCCATGAAACGCAGCTTGCAGACCAGGTCGGGTTTGCCAGAGAAAAATTGGTTTGTTTGTGCACCTGGTTTTAAGAGGTGGCTAGCCTGTTTTATGACCTTCTGTCAACAGCGGCTTACTTGACACTAAACCGAAAGAAGCCAAGGCTTCCAGAGAGAATGTTGTGCTGGTTTTCCAGCATTTTAGTGGCCTTAAACGTTTAAATTAAATTGCACTTGAACGAGAAGGTTCGGTGCCTCACTGAAGGAACTCCACCAAGCTTTTAGGCTGTTCGACCTCCTGCTCCCTGAGCTCCAAGTGTTGCCACAACCACAACGCCTCCAGAACTGCCCTTCACGGACCATGATGCCTCTCTCCTAATGTAGCTGGACCCAGGCCATCGTGTCCCACCGCTCCAGCGGAGAGACCAAGCTCCCCCTCTCCTCCAGTCCTTCAGCTGCAGGCTAGACTCACAGTTCCTCCACCCGCCCGCGCTGTCTCCCCCTGCCCTCTGTGCTGCCTCCTTCCTCTCCGCTCGACAGGAACCACACGAGGGGTCAAATGTCTCACCTGCGTCGGAAACGGCCCTCAGTCAATCGCATGCCAGACCTTCATTACCATTGCAATGAAGGAAAAGCTCTATCTGCCTCATCTGTTACCAATTTCGGGTGCCAGTTGCACCGTGCGCGGAGCAGGGGCGGTGCTGACAGGACCCCGGGCGCGGGGTTGGATCTGACCTCTCCCTCCAAGGGAACTGCGTCCGAGCCAATTATAATCAAGGGCCCGTGACAGGCAGGCTCTTACAGAGCCTCCTTTTTTTTTTTTTGTGTCTCGGGCAGAAGCTGCTATTACTGTTATTGCTGCAGACAATTTTATTGGCAGTTGTTATGCCATTACTGGGGATAATGCACTCAATTCCGGAAAGGCAAACATTTCGTAATTTCTTCCAGTTTCTTCAGATCTGCCCTGAATGAGGGGGGAGGGAGGGTGATGATGGGCCCCAGCTCATCTGCCCTTTGCAGAAGAGGGAGCACCCCCACCTCCCCTCCCGCTGCACAGCGCCTCTGGAGACGAGCCGGAGACGGGCTCCAGGGGGTTTGCGCTGCCGTTTTGGGGGAAATGGGGGTTTAAGAGAAAATAGGAGATTGTTGTTTTAAAAATACCTACGCATAAAATAAAACCCAAAGCAATATATTGACCTGCCAGCTGGGAGCAGGGTTCCGACAAGCGCTGCAGAGACGGTCAGGGAGCATGGTTCAGCTGGTGGAGGTCAAAGGTGCCGCAGTGCTGGCTCACTGACTGGAGGCTTTGTCTATGTCTTCCATCTAACTGGTGGAGCTGCAGGTGTTGTTCCTCCAGCCCGCGCGTGTCAGTGGTCTGAATTCGATCTGAACCAATAACGGAAGGTTTTGTTCTACTTTTACGAAAAGCATCGATTAAAAAAAAAAAAGACCCATGTGGCACGGACCATCTATTCTGAAACATCTACTGCTGAATGTGTGCAAGATTAAAATGGAAAATTTCACAACAGGATTCTCGTAAGGCCCTTGACCACCCTCTGGAAGGCATGATTTCCATCTTTTCCTTGTTTTTCTAGCTCGTTTAGATGCCGTGAACGATTTGATGGTTTTCTGATATTATTCCCTTCAGAACTAATAACATTTCTTCCTCTCCAGCTTGCTGTGTAACGGCCAGACACCCAGGCAGCTTTGACAGATAAATATCTCCTAGCGGCGATATATGTATGTATTTGGTCTTTGGACCGTGGCCTCTTGAGTCACTGGTGTGACAGCAGGTGAAATTGTGTGGAAAATGGAAACTAGGAATCTGATGATCTGCTTAGGATGTACCCTTAGAGACTGCTGAGCTGTACGGGCTAATGAAGCGTTGATGTTCTTCCTCCACATTGGAATTGTTTTCCAGTTCCGGCACGCTGTGCTCCGAAGCACCCCTGCTCCTCTGTGTGCTGGACAGGGCCGCTCCCCTTTCACGCTGGTGCTACGTCGGACACGGGAAGCTGCAAGCATTCGTTCCCTGATCGTCTTTAGAGGCCTTGGGGGGTTTCCCGACTTCCCCTCTGGCCGTACCCTCGTCCCCCCTGGACACACTCGCAAACATGAGGGAAAGCAGCAGATCTGTCATGGGGTCGCCCCCTTGCGGGCCTGTTAACAGGGTTGTTGGATTTTTACAGGGTTGTGGTGCTGCAGCTGCTCTGCTCACTTACAATCACCCCCTCTCTCCTGCTTCTGTCGGGGGGAGCTCTCTCCCCCCTGATCCAGTTACCAGCCCTGCTTGAGTTTTCACTGCCTGATTCACTTACCAGAAAACCTGTCATTCAGCTCCAGAAATGAGCGTTTTACTGCCAGAAAGTGATATACAGCTCAGCTCTTTGAAAGAGAGCTGGAGTATCACGGTAGGGTTTTATCCCTTTTTCTCTGCTAGACTGCTTGGCTGAGAAACCACAGCCGCATTTCATTTGAGTTAAGGGGGAAGATTAGCAGAGGTAAGTGAGATGCACTTCCCAGTGGTAGGATGGTGAAAGGCCAGGATCCTGATGAAGTCTTCAGGACCCTGAGGCAGCAGCTCGGCTGAGCGCTGAGCTGCGGGAGAGGAATGCATAAAAAAGGAAATCTCCGTTACGAGCTGCTCTGGTAGTTGGCAAGAGTCTGCAGATCAGTCCAAGCTGGTGGCACCTCGTGCTGTCCTTTTCTGAAGACCTGCTGGATTCTGCAGCAGACGCACGATTTGTTGTACTGGAGGTGACACGAGAGGCCCGGCACGCTTGGATCGAGTGTGTGTGTGTGTCTCTTGGTGTCCAAACACGAGCCGCGCTCCTGCACAGGGAGAGAGCCAGAAGAGCAGATGGTAAAGCACTTGATTCAGGAAAAGTTAGTCACACTCCTGCGTCTCTAATTGAATTACCGTTGACAGTGCACAGCAGGCTTAGTGGGTGATCTACTGCAGAAGTCCACAATGAACCCAGCAGAGAGGACACTGGTGTGTGTGTGCGTGTTTATGTTTTCCGTGTATGATAGAGAGGGCCGGCCTTTTTCCCTAAAATCAATTACTGCCTCTCAGAGCCGGGTAGGGGTTAGGCACATCCTGCAGGTCAGAGGCTGGAATGACAGCAGCACCTGGGAGATGGGACAGGAGTGTAAAGCCATCCGCACTTTCCTGACCCTGGCGAGCACATGAAAGACGAGCGCGGGGCTCATCAGCTGCCCGGGCACAGGGCAGCACTAAATCACTGGAGCAGCTTCTCCCTCTTCATTAGACACATCCCGCCCGCTCGCCACCCGATACGCCATGGGGCAGCCCCCTCCGGGTTCCTCAAAGCACCCCCTGCATGGAGCAGCAGAACCGTTCCCCTGCCGCCTGGGGGGCTGTGTGCAGGCTGCGCTCTGCCGTGGGGAAGAAATAACCTGTCGCACAGGGGAAGCTTGCAGGCTCCCTCAGGGCAAACCTTTACCATCACTGCTGCTGGTGATGGTATCAAAGTGGGGGATACATATGGGACAAGGGTCTGCTTTACCTCCCCTTGCAGTTCTTTCTTCGTAAATAACGACTCTTCACTTCTTACAGTCTGGAAAAAATACTACATTCTGATAATCTTCTTCTAAATATATGAGAACAGAAATCAAAGTGTATTTCATTCACTACAAATATTGCACTTTTTCCTGAACTCATGTAATGGTATGCTGGGTTTAGATGCCTTTGAAAAAACAATCATAAACTTGCCTTCCATTGTAGTCTCTGGACCAGGGAAGCCAGAGTTTCCATATTTGAGGGTTTCTAGATTATTTTGCATGTCATTTCCATGGCTGGCC